TATGGGCCAAATGCTGGCAAATGGGACTAGATTAATGTAGGATATCTGGTCAGCATGGACGAGTTGGACCAATGGGTCTGTTCCTGTGCTGTATGACTGTATGACTCTATAACCACAACCAATTTCCTTTGTGCCAGGTCTGACTCCAACCAGGAGAGAGTTTGCCCCCTGATACCCAGTGATTCTAGTTTTGCCAGGGCTCCTTGATGTTGCAGGGTAGTGACTGTATCTTCCGAGCAGGAGTTGGAATGTGGTGTTTGAATTAAAGAGTTTCTGGAATGTGGGAATGTGGGATTCTCGAGCAGATTTGTTGAGGTAGGGACAGGGTGATGTTACTGATGGTGGAGCTCCGCTCAAAGTCTGAGTGTGTGAGTGTGAGAGAACAACGTGTGTCAATGAGCAGAGTAGGAGATGAGTGAATGTGGCACTGGGATTGAGGTTGGTGGGGGGAGATGGTGTGGGTTTGGATTCTCCCAGCTCTGGTCATCCTCATATCTAACCTCCCGTCCCTGGTACAGGTGGGAACTCGCGCACTGCAATGATTGCGGCTCTCAGCCCTGCGGATATTAACTACGAGGAGACCCTCAGCACACTCAGGTAGGTCAGCACTGTCAAAGTAACATAGCAGATCCTCGTCGCTGGGGATTGTGGTGGGACTGGACAGGAACCATCAAACAGCCACATGAAGGCTGTGTTCTCTTTCAGATATGCAGACAGAGCCAAACAGATCAAATGTAATGCGGTCATCAACGAGGATCCCAACGCCAGGCTGATCTGGGAACTCAAGGAGGAGGTAGCCAGACTGAGGCAGCTGCTGTCGAAGCAAGGTCTCAGCATCATGGACAGTAAGGAGCAGCGGGCCAACCAGGGGAACCCTGGGATACACACCATCCCCCCCGCCCCCCGCCCTGAACTCCCAACCCCCCAACCCCCAACCCCCAGCACCCAGCAACCACTTCATCCAGATCCTGTGCTGTCCCTGTCCTGGGAGTGTTTCGTGGGGACAGTGTAGAGGAAGCTTTACTCTGTATCTAACCCCGTGCTGTCCCTGTCCTGGGAGTGTTTGATGGGGACAGTGTAGAGGGAGCTTTACTCTGTATCTAACCCCGTGCTGTCCCTGTCCCTGGGGAGTGTTTGATTGATTGAGCTGTTGGAATATTTTAATTTCTTTTCATTGCTACTCCATTCATCTTGTTTCTAACCATCATATCTAACATTTGAATGTCTTCCACCCCGCCCAATCCCTGTCCTATCTTCCCCCCTACCCCGACCTCCCCTTACCCCGCAACTCTCTCCATCTCCTCACCCCCTGTCCCTCCTCCCCTATTCCACGCCCCCCAACCCCCAGGCGTACAATTTGAGGAGAACAGCAATTCACAGCCAAGCCCTCGGCCCATGGTGCTTGAAGGTGTCGAAAGTTTCCTCACAGCCTCGATCCCCAGTCGGGAGGAGGATTCAGCCCCACAACCCTCCCCCCTGCCCAGCCCCCAGGGGCAGGTTGAGGGGCAGCTGAATGGCCAGCTGCTATCCAGTGAGGAGGCGATGGATCGACTGCAGGTGAGATTGCTTTGGTCTAAATGAAAGCTCACTGAGCTCCCACTGCCTCCAGAGTGAGGAAACAAGGGGGCACTCTGTAGGCCTGTGGGTCTGCTGTAGGCCAGACAGTGGCCCAGGGGTATTATCGCTGGAACAATTAATCCAAAGACCCAGGCAACATTGTGGGGACCCAGGTTCGAATCCTGCCGCGGCAGGTGATGCAATTTGAATTGAATAAAATAATCTGGAATTCATGATGGCCGTGAATCCAGTGTCGATTGTCGGGAAAAACCCATCTGGTTCACTAATGTCCTTCAGGGAAGGAAACTGCCATCCTTACCTGGTCTGGCCTACTTTTTTTATTCATTCACAGGATGTAGGCATCACTGACCAGGCAACATTTATTGCCGATCCCTAATTGTCCAGGGGGCAGTTCAGAGTCAACCACATTGCTGTGGGTCTGGAGTCACATGTAAGCCCAGACCAGGTAAGGATGGCAGTTTCCTTCCCTAAAGGACATTAGTGAACCAGATGGGTTTTTCCGACAATTGACAATGGATTCATGGTCATCGTTAGACTCTTAATTTCAGATATGTGACTCCAGAGAATGCTGTGGGTGGCGGGGGGGGGGATGGCGGGTGATCTGACTGAGGTGTACAAAAGGTCACAGACAGGATGAATTGGGAGAAACTCTCTAACCAGGGGGTGGAACAGGAGGTTTAGAAGGGATTTGAGGAAGAATG